GCGCTCGTAGCGCACACTAATTAGTAGAACGTGGGATATGCGCCGGGGTGTTTTTGAAGCTTCCGAACTCGGCCTTTATTTTGGACGGTTTTCTCTTGGTCACCCCTTTGAAGAATCTCAGCAAATGGCCAATATAGGTGTCTTTGCTAATTTTGCTACTACTCGACCTTGCGGGCACTTTTGGTGCCCCGGTTTGCAGCAAAAAGTTGTCCGATGATTGCGCTCGTAGCGCATTCTTATCAGCAGAACATGGGATTTATATCGTGGTGTATTTTGAGTTCCTTAACTCGGTCTACTTTTTGGGCAGTTTTCCCTTGGTCCTCCCTTTGAAGAATGTCATAAAATGGCCGATTTAAGTGTCTTTGCTAAATTTGCCATTACTCGACGTTGCGGGCACTTTTGGAGTTCTGGTTTGCGGCAAAAAAAGTGTCTGATAATTGCGCTTGTAGCGCATACATATTAGCGGATCAGGGATTTGCGCCGGGTGTGTTTTTTAAGCCCTTGAAATCGGCCTACTTTTGGGCGGTTTTCCTTTGGTCCCCCGTTTGAAGAATCTGATATATTTTTTTTTCTGGACAGGCGCAGTTCTACCTTTTGCGAGCCCCCTCTGCAGTCAACAGAGTTTGAAAAGCAGGAAAAAAAATACGCACTCGTCAGTTTTAGCATCAGCCAAATTTTTAAAAGATGGTTACGTTTTTAAAAAGAACATGTGGGTGTCCAGCTAGCTCTACTCCTCTGATATGTCATCGAGTGTTTAAATATCTAGAATAAAAAGCTGTTAAAGAAACAAAAAGTAAGGAGCTTCGAATATAACAGGGTGGAAAAGAACATTTGCATTGCATTGCCGCACTTTGCCGCACTTTGCAAGTCTATTAAACTCTTTCTCTTTTTTATAGGCATTTAGTTTATAAGAACATCTAGGCTGAAATTTGCCAGATTTTTTTTTTTTCTTCTTATTTCACCCAAAATAAGGGGGGGCTGCCGGGGCCCCAGTGGCCCCTCTCCTAGATCTGCCACTGAGCTCTTTTCCATCGATTCAATTTTGACCTTCGCTGAAAGCAGAACTATTTATTTAAATCAGTAAATGTAATCAAAATATAGCCAATGAACTGTAGCTGACCAAACAGGCCGCGCAGGGTCCAGAATCAAAACTAAACAATTAAGTTATGAACTGCAACATTTACCCAACACGAAAACTTACATAATCAGGGTTTAAATGAACTGCAACTTTTACACCTGGCACTCTCACCTTTGTAGAGCTAAAGCCAAGTTAATTTCAACATTGTAAATTTTGTTATTTCAAAACTGCTCACAACAAAACGTTTGACTAAAAACCTGTGAATGTCTCCACAAACCCATTTCCAGGAGTTCATTACAAGTTTCTTCACTTTTACTAGTAATTATCCAGAAATATATTAAAGTATTTGTAATTAATATCAAAAGATCTAGACCATGATCTCATTTTCTCTTGTTAATATTAATTTAAAATATTACTGTAAATTCATTTTTTTCTATTTACTTAAATCATTTTATTTCTTTTGTATTATTGTTAACTACAGTATTTTTAGTTCTAGTAAAAATAGGGGGTCCATGGACCCGGTCCATAGATCTGGTCCACGGAGGGGTTCCATGAACCACGGGTCCATATTTTGTACTTTATCTGGAGGCAGTAGGACGCCAGCTCGCTGGGTTCATTGGTAACCATTTATATTCCGGGTGGGTAGAGTGTCTTGCCCAAGAACACAACACAATGTCCCCCACCAGGGCTCGAACCAGGACCGCTATGGGCCGGAGGCGAGCGTATTAAGCATGAAGCCACCGCGACACCACGGTGAACTCGGTGGACAAGAGAAGTGATACTAAAATAAACTAAACACCGTTACTATGAGCTAAATAGCACTGGTTAAACAAAACAAAACTACTGACGCAGTTAGCGTGAGTAGGACACTCACCTCACCTCCTATCATTGTTCTCTACTGAACATAATTTAAAGCCTTCAAAATCATATGTAAGTCCACTCTGTATAGATCTCCAGCCAGCTGCGTATCTCTCTTTTCATTGTTCTTTCCTACGTTTGACCTTTCTCTTTCCTTCGGGTCTCCATGAGTCGTTTTGAAGCTCTGGTACTGGAAAGAGCTAAGCGTCTTGATCATGATGTCTTTTTCGCTTACCTTCCGTGTTTCGCATGCATGAAGGAGAACAGGTTTAACCAATGTGTTCTAGCGGGGTTTTATGAAAGAGACAAAAGCGACCGTTGATTGATGTCGCTTCTCCATCTACAACCGCGGTCACAAGGGTTGGAAATTTCACTTTATACGTATTTTGCCCCTCCCCACCCCTGTGCAATGTTGCGAGAATACACTTTGATCTTACGCAAGTTTGCATTTGACTACCTTATTATAGGAATATAACGAAGCATGTTAATAACGCGCACAAAATTTACGCGTCATGAAATTAACGCAAATTTTCGAAAAGTTATGTTTACATACATTTAATTAACGCGAATTTCCGTGCGGTATGTTGCAGAATTAAGACGTGAATTTAATATTTTTCGCACTCATTTCGTTAGGTTACAGCGATAAAATAGAAGCCATCTCCACTTATTCAAGGTGGATTAGAAATACCTATTGCGGTGACTGTGAAATGGGATGACATAAATGCGATAAACAGTTTGCGCAAGAAAGTTGAAGATGTGGGTTATCCCCTCGGAGAAGACGATCGCTACACTGATGAATCTAAGGACATTTTGAACTTAATATTAAATGATGATGCGTCAACCGACTCTGACGGAGACGTAGAGGAATTGTAACTTTGCTTATAATAAAGGTGTCCTCAAATAACGATGCTTTCAATTAACGTCGTTTTAATTAACAATGAGGTAAATTAAGATACATAAAATTAACGCGAATTTTTGAAATTCGCGTTAATTACATCATTGTTAATTTCCTATAATAAGGTATTTTCCAACATTGACGGGGAATGGGGATGCTGGCACTTATTTAATAGGTATTACGGTTATGAGTTCATGTTTTTGCCATTTTCCAACGCAATTTGTTCAGGGTTGTCAAATATTTTAAATGCAAAAAACTTACGCAGAATTTTACAACTTCGAACTAAACGTGGCACACGCACTATTTATCACTTGCTCAATAAAATGACTGCGAATATCTGGTTATAGCCTAATTCCCTAACTTGATTCGCTGCTTTCATTTTCCCTCAAAATTGAGGATTTAAGTATTTCTATCTCATGTAACAAGCAACAAAATATATCTCAGCTTATAATATCTCAAGAAAGAGGGTCTCAATGGGGTAGTGGCTTTTACGGTTAACGTTTAATATTTTGGCTTTTTACACCTAACGGTTAATTTTTAACTTTTTACGGCTAACGGTCATTTTTTGGCCATTACGGTTAACAGGGGATTGTTAAAAATTAATTGCCATTGTTCTAGGAAGTTAAATATTAAATTCCATTGTTGTGAAACATCCTGAAAGTCTTTTTGTCTGTGTACATTCTCAGTGAACTATATAACTTTTATGCTTTTACTGCAGTAGAAAAACATAACGAATACCAAAATAAGATACAGTTATAAATTACTTAAAGGAAAATAAACTAGGAACGACAGATCCATGTACATGTAACCTGTGTCACAAGTATATTTAAATGTACGAGTTTGTTTGTTTGTAAATGGCAACACATCTATATGAATCATAAGGCTTTAATTAACAGGTTTGTGAAAATGAAGAATGATCATCGCAGTTAGTTGCGAGCGAGGTCAACTTTTTTTTATCAATAAATTGACCTCGCTCCCAATGGGTGGCTTCATAGCTCAGTTGGTAGAGCATCGCACCGGTATTCGCGGAGGTCAAGGGTTCGAATCCCGTTGAAGCCCTGATTTTTTCAGGCTGCTTCTTTCTAATTGCTCAAATTGGAAAATTAGCTGCGATGATCATTCTTTATTTTCATCTGCGACTGCAGTTGAAATATGAATTATTTCATATATGTTTCATAACGGTTCGTATGTCCTGGCTTACCAATTTGTGCAAGTTTAAACATCAAAGCTTGTCCAGACCTTGACTTGTCCGGCTTCCAGGCCTTGTCATTATTGGCTTACCAATAACCAGTTCTTCTGACTCAATATCGACATCATTGTCATCCGAATCGCTTTCGTACTCCTCCATCTGGTTGAAATCTGCAGTTGACGCGAGGGTTAGCTGTGGAACTGTGGCATCGCTTACGAAACTCAACCCGGACACATCGGAAACAACAGAGCGCATCTCAGAGGAGGCAGTGGGCGTTTGTTCAACTTGGTCAGCTGGAAAGAAGACCCTTACAGTGGCATTAGGATTTGCATTTGAATACACTGCCGGAGGAAGAGTTCCTGGCGTATCTTTAGTAGTCTCGCTCCTCACGGTTCTCTGACGCACAGGACGGTAGTTTTCCAGCCAATCTCTCATAGTCTGTTCTTCCCCTTTAGAAAGCTCATCAGGGGGAAGTGGAGTCATAAACCGTACACCCTTGAACGACAGTCCAGTCCGTGGCACTGGATAGTATGAAGATGGATGTGTAAAGTAGTTTGCACCCCACTTCGTTATTCGCTTTAACGATTCCTTCGATATAGTGCTGAAGTCTATGGCATATTGAAGGGCATCAAATGTCTCGTGTTCAAAATGCGAAAGCGCGTGTAAAATCTCTATTATTGTGATTAGTAATGTTTTCCAGTCAATAGCATCTTTAGTATCTTTGTAGTTTGATTTTCTCTTATTTGAAATCGCAAAAAGCTACGATCTTTTGTCTCCAAGAGACATATTCTTCGATCGAGGACGAAAAAGTCTGGGCTGCTGAATGGGGTGGCAAAATTTTTTTCTCGCATGGCTCTTCGCACTCGAGAGGCGTTTGCGTTCTTTTAAATCCACATTCTACATTTCATTTGCGATGCGTCGAAGCGGACTCAGAAGGAAGGTTTTTAATTGTTAAGGTAACAATAGATGAAGAATGCAATTTCGTAACAAATATATATGCCCCGACGGATTACCGTGACCAGGACTCTTTCATCCGTCGTTTTAGCAAACAACTCATTTCGAATACAGACACCTCAAAAGTTGTTATTTCAGGAGATTGGAATAGTAGTCTTAACCCAATCGATAAGCGAGGTGGCCAGCCTTGGAGAGCTACAGACTATAGAAATTCTCTCATGAATCTCATGGAAGAACTCAATCTTATTGATATTTATCGACAAATCCATCCCACCACAAAATCCTTCACGTACGAGTCAAAACCTTTAAATTTAAAATCAAGGATCGATTTTTTCCTTATTTCTCGTCCTCTG